AGGAGATTCCCAACCCTCTCATTGCAGTTTTAAATGCCCAGACATTTATGGAGAGCAGTGCCCCCAAATTTGGGCAGCAGATACTGCTAGAAGCGGCCTAAGCCAACAGACACCAGCATTGGGGAGGAGTGTCTGTAGCAATTACTGTATTCTGCAGAGTCCAGTCTGACTGACCCCCCCCAAACTTCTCCCCACACCTATTCCAAACCTCCCAGTGGTGCTACCAGAGGTCACACCCCTTGAACTGTGGCCTCCCTGCTGCGCACACATGAAGGGCCAACACCCTATGAACCATGTAAGCCTCATAGAAGCAAGACTCTGCACCTGAGCAGTGAAGTGGGCTGCTGCTACTGGGGGGTCACTCCTGGAGTTGCCAGCTACATGGCCTCGTCTCAGGTTCTTGACTGCAATGTTCTTTATGTTGAAGCCCACATTGTAACCAGGAAAAGCCACCTGCAGTGGCTCATGGTGCATTTCAATGGTTCTGACCTCTGCCGAGAGGTTTGCAGGGGCAAAGGAGATGTTCATGCCCGGCTTGAGGATGCCTGTCTCTATCTTCCCCACCGGTACAGTGCCAATTCCTGTGAGGAGACAGGGGAAGAGTAAGTCAGAGCTGATTGTGGAAAGCCCGAAACCAGCACAGCAAGCAGACCAGTTAGTTTGAGGGAGGGTGGAGTATCCTGGCGAGGATGATGGAGGAGGGAGAGTCCCCTCAGAAGTGTTTCCTTCATGAAGTTGAGCCTTCACTAACCAAGGCCAGAATAGCCAAGAGACCAGCACCCAGTATGCTTTATGTATGATTTGGGCCCTGCCCCCAGACGGCCAGTCAATCACCTCAGAGACCACCATACAGAACCCAACTGTAGATCAGCATATCCCAGGGCCCCATTCCAGCTTGGACTGACCTCCGATCTTGTAGACATCCTGCAGAGGCACCCTCAGGGGTTTGTTACTGGGCCGCACAGGAGGCAGGAGAGAATCTAGCGCTTCCAGGAGTGTCTGCCCCTTCCCAAAGCCTTCCTTCCGTTTGACCTTCCAACCTTTGAACCACGGCATCTGCAGGGGGTAGAGGGAAGCCAAGAAGATGCTTGGCAGCCTTTGGATACAGGAAATGCAACCTGGGGCTGGGACCTGAGGTCTGGCTGTTAGCCCCAGCGGGTGGGGCTGTTCCCCCTGGACTCACCCTAAAGGGTGCCCGTAGGCCGGTCCCTTCCCCCCATGGCTGCAGCACTCAGCACTTTGCCTTGCCATCCACACCTCCAACTGCATGGCACCTTTGGCCCAGGAGGCAGAGCCCATCTCCTTCCCTCCCACTGGGCATGGCAGAGGGCCCAGAGCTCTGCTGGAAGGGAGCAGCCCCTCCAGGGAACTGAGCTCCACATGGGTCCCTCCCACCAGCAGCTGCCCTGGGCACCCCCACCCCATGCCCGGATGGATCCCCCACCTTGGGGCTGGGCAGGGTGACGTTCTCGCCGGCCCAGCCGGACACCGGCACGCAGGGCACCGCGGCCGGGCTGTAGCCGATCCTGCGCAGGTAGAGGCTGACGCCCCGCACCACCTCCTCGAAGCGCCGCTGGCTGTAGGGCGGCTCGGTCAGGTCCATCTTGTTGACGCAGAGCAGCAGCTGCTTGACGCCCAGGGTATAGGCCAGCAGGGCGTGCTCGCGGGTCTGCCCCTGCCGGGACACGCCAGCCTCGAACTCCCCGGGCGCGGCCGAGACCATCAGCACCGCGGCGTCCGCCTGGGGCAGAGAGGGGCCGTGTGAGGATCGGGGCCGCTCCGTGCGCCCAGGGGGCTGCGCAACCTACCCAG